GGCAGAGACTTCCCACGGCTCGATCCTGCTCGAGCACAAGCAGCCAAGTTGTTCGGGCTGGCTATGTCTGACGAGACTCGTCGTGTGCTAGAACAAGGATACGCGCAGACGAAAGCTGCTACGGCCTCACCGGATTATGGTGCATTGAATTCGGTAAGAACGGCCAATGCGACACTCGGCTACATTAGTCCTGACCTCCTCCCCGATGTGAGAGTCTTGAACAATATGATTCAGTCGCCTGCAGCTTACGTTGAATTCAAGAACTTGCAGTCCCATGCGAGTCCCATGCAGGGACGGCAACGAAGCAACGCATCCGGCCCACGGTAACTGGGTCAGTAGTAGTGGTTTTAGAGGAGGTGAAAGAGGGCAAGGACAAAGAGAATCCTACCCCCAGGTTCAGCATGGGCAAGTGGATGATGCAGTTCGCCAGATATTCAACTGCACTTATGGTCGTAGATCCTGAGTGCGCTCAGAATAGCACCGTATTTTCGAGGTATCAACTAGAGATTGGCTATTTGGCTGATGAGTCATCTTGTCGCGATGCTCTTGAGGCCGACGCTAAGTATCGAAGGTCTATCTCGAAGCGAGTTATGTCGGGTATTCCTCTGTGGAGCTGCTTTACCGAGGGTCAGTTCAGAAGCTTCTTTGATAGATGCTTATCTGAGGCCGCAGGGAGGAAAGCGTATCGAGGTGCTGCAACTCCTCCCTGGAGTTATAAGGGTAAAGGATACGGTAAAGGCTCTGGAAAAGGCGTTGGCAAAGCAATGAGCAAGGGTGGCATGGGCCCCAAGGGTGGTTCAATGACATCCTGGTCATCTAGCGACAACTCATCTTGGCATCAAACTTGGGGACCGAAGGATCAGAATATCATGAGAGGGTCTGAAAGCCACCCTCAGGCTAGTGCCGCCAAGAAGACGAAGGCCGAGCGACACTGATGATCAGTGCTCAGTGACTGACCCAACATAGGCGTGTGTTTCATCGTGTGTCGTTTCAGTAGTTT